CAGGGGGCGTCCGGGCGGACGAGGTGCCACGCGGCTCGAGAGGCGACAACCGTCCCCCGCGCGGGGACACCCTCCCTCCCGCGCGCCCCGGGCCGACCCCGCTCACCCTCGCGGGGAGGCCGGGCGCACTCCCGGGGCAGCGGAGGGAACGGCGTGCGGCCGGTGGCGGCGGCAGCGACTCCCACGCGCGGATCGCGGCAGCGGGGAAGAGCCACCGAGACCCCAGCCCACGACCCGGCGGCTGTCGGAAACCCGGAGCCGGAGCGGAAGTCGCCCTACGTCGCGGCGTCTGACGGCTGCGCGCCCGCCGCCCTGGGCCCGCCCACTTCTGTTCGCCCCGCCCCGACCCCGCCCACTCCGGAGCGAGGCGGGGCTCCCAGTCCTGAGCAGGCACCTGCGGAGGGGGCACTCAGGGTGGTGGGGTGAGGGATGAAGGAGCAGAGCGGAAGGACGTAGGGATAGGAGCCCCCCTCTGTGTTATTTCCCTGGCAAGGGAGAAATCTAAGGGAAGAGAAGCCCTAAAAAGAAGAGGGAAATGAACTCACACTGCAATAGGTCTTGCTTAGTCCTTTGGGAAACATTTCTTAGGCAGTGCAATTGCAAAGACCCTCTGAAGTAGGGCTAGGGGCCTAGTGACCAAGCAGAATTTTTATGGTGTTTCAGGGTGTCCTCCCAGTGATCTGGCCTTGATCTGTTCCTGCCCATACATTCCCAGGGTCCATTTTGATTGTACAGATTGACACTCTCCTTGTTTGCTAGCCTTCCATTTTGTCCTGGGGACACCATATTCTGTTATCCCTCTCTCCAGTCTTTTGAGGGCCAGGCCCTCAAGGGCCACTCAAAGCCGCTCAGCTCAGTAACTTTGCCAGGTTACATGTAAGCCAAGTTACTGACCAGAGGCCAGGAGGGCAGTGGGGAGGGGTGATGCAGAACTTCCTGAAGAAAGCAGGGTTGTACTACAAGGCAGAGGTCTTGGGTCATTTTCAAGCAAAAGGTGGCACCAGCGATTAGTCAGGAATAGCAGCACCATTCAGACTGAGGATCTGGGTAATCGAGATGCTCAGATGTTGCAATGCAGCCCAAGGGATCAGGGCTTCTTCCCTTCCCATGCAGCTTTCTGACCCCAGGCTTAAACCACCCAGCGGGGTTACCTAGCTGTAAACCTCCTTTGGAGCCCCGCCACACTTATGATTAATGTGGGGCCTGTTCCTCAGCTTTCTCTGCCTCCCAGTGCAGGGGATGAAAGCCTCTTTATTTGCTACCAAGGAAGCCTTCTTAATTTCGCTTTTAGATTTTTAATAGTGCTAACCATTCTCAGTATTTGGCTTCTTCCAAAGAATCTACTTTACTTGGCAGCTGCCAATTCCCCTGTCCTGGAGATTACTATTTCCCTCATGTTTGATAAATCCCTGTCACATGTATGTTTTAACTATTGCTTTGTTACTTTGTGCCCAAGTCTATCATACTCCCGTCACCAACAGATGGCTTAAGTCAGAAATTTCACCTTAGCTTCAGCTTTCTTGGCTCATCCCTAAAATCAACAGTCATGGTTGTTGGCTTTTCTGGGAGTGCATTCTGAGTCAGACATGAGGATAATGACTTCATTGGGGATTTTTTCGGAATACCTGAGGAGAGCGTGGCAGCAGAGGTGGATGGGGTAGGGTTTGCCTGCAGCGTAATATCAGTGAAGCTCTGGGCTTTGATTCTGGTCATCCCTTCAGAGCTGAGGCAAGTGGGCTCAGTCAGTAAACATCCGGTCATCGGATGAGGCTGATGAAGGCAGAGTGTGCAGCCTGGGCTGGACTATGGACTGTCCCTGGACAGGGTTGACCCTGGATTTTGCCAGCTGGTTGCATGCCCAGCACTCGGGGAGTCCTTCGTTTCGAACAGGGATCTGGGTAGCCTCTCCCACTATTCACTGTGGAGGTAGATGGCGAAATAAAGAAATATAAACACCAAGAGAAAGTATAACCATTCACAGACACTGCTAAAAGAATTCCCAAGGGTGTCGATCAGGAAGATGGAATTCAGAAGGCAGAAGAGGGAGAAGCAATAGCATATAATCAGATCATTGCTGTAGAGGAAACTGAAGACATCATCTTTACAACATTTAAAAAAACATAATTTTGTGTAGGAAAACTATGAGGAATTATAAAATTCTCTAAATTCAATGCAGTTTAAATCAAATCATGATAGAACTATTTAATGGAATTTGATTAATTGATCCTAAATTTCATCAGATGAGCAGAGTTATGAACAACTCAGCTCATTTTAAGTAAAGACAAAGGATACCTTCCCTGATTGTAAAACTTCGGTGACTGAAATACTGTTGTCAAGTGTCAAGTGTCAACAGACAATTGTAACTGACTGAAAATCCTCAGTAGAGCTTCACATACATTTGGCAACTTGGAAAATGGTCCAGGTCACCTTTCATCAGTGAGAAGAGATGTGTTGCACAACAAATGGGATGTAGACTGTTGGCTGTGCGTATGTGCATATGGAGGAAAATAAAATGAGCTCCTTAGTTAACAGCATTAGCTCCTTAGTTAACAGCATACATAGAAATAACTCCCAGATGGATTAAAGATGTAAATATACAAAGAAAAATATTAAACGATCAAAACAATATAAGAGATTGCCTTTGCGATATTGAACTATAAATGATTTGTTAAGAAAAAACAAAAAGTTCAATGACATAAATAAGCAGCATAACTAAATTTTAAAATGTCAGCATGAATAAAGACACCAAATCAAAGGGAAAAGGTAGAGCAGAAATGAGGGAGCTGAGTTTGATACTACGTAACTGACAAAAAAATGTGTGAATAAAGTAAGTGAAGAAACACCATTCAGTGACAAATGACCCAAATGAATTACAGTTAAATGATTTTATGGAAGATTATAGGAGATTTTATAAAAGAGGAAATCTTTATATTGAACTATAAATGATTTGTTAAGTCACAAAAACCAAAAAGTTCAATAAAATAATCAATATGACTAACTTTTAAGCAGCATTAAAACATCTAAATATCATGATGAAGTATCAGTTTGCACCCATGAGACTGCCAAAATTAATTCCAAAAACTTGGAGCAGGTGAAGAAACAGAACTAAGCAGTTCTGATGGAGGTATAAACTGCTAAATCTGTATAGCCATTTTAATAGCAAAAATGTTTAACGACCTGTTTTCTCTTAGGAAAAGGAATCAAATATATGCTGTCTTCCTAACATGTAAAAATTGTGAACTTGATCTGTAATCATGATCATGGGTAATCCCAAAACATTATGATAAAGAAACATCAAACTGAAATACTATTCACATAAAAGATCTACATACCTCCTTGGTCTGACAATAATAAACATTAGGGAGAGAGGTAGGGTTTCCAAGTAAATAAAGTTATTTAAAGTTTGCTAAGATTTTCACATTTGTAACATAAACACACATAAAACTTGTGTGTTGAAGTAGTTACTACCTCTACTTGACAGATAAGAAATCTGCAAGTTAGTATCATCACTGATGACTATGATGCCTGTTGAAAACTGAATTCAGCATCTTTTCCCCCAAATCCAGGCCTCCTTCTTGGTGTCTTAACTCAGCGAACACAGGCCCTGTTCACCTGTTGAAGCGGAAGTCTGGGCACTCCCTCCCCTTCTACCCACCGGCCTCCTAATTGCCTTTGTGATATGGCGCCAAATTCTGTCAAGCTCATTTCCCCGATGATGTCCAGATACCTGTTTCGGAGATGCTCTGTAACAACAGAGCACAAAAATTCTGGATTAAAAAACAAAAATGCAAACAAGTAAACAACTATTTCCAGAAAGTGGTGGCAGTTCAAGAAGGCTTTATTTTGTTGAAAACAGGGATCCAGACGGTGAACAAGCTTGGGAACTCACATTTGGCTGAAACCGTCTGCAAACCCCTGATGACCTAAAATTTGGATTCTGGTGAGCAACATGTGCTCTGGACGGGGCGCCTGTGCCCTGGCCAAGAAAGCAGCAGTTTGGAGTAAAGACTCTTCCGTAAAGCGGGACACACAGAGAACAGCACCCGCCTGCACAAACAAATTTAAAAAGCATCTCACCGCATAAAGGAAGATGGTGGTGATGATTCCCTACATCACCTGTGTCTCCCAAGGGAGTAGGAAAAAAATTCAATAAAAAGCACCAAAAGGGAATTCTTGACTACAAACCCGCCTCCATTTATAGTTGGTTTGACTTGAGGCTTCCATGGCTACAGTCTATGGTGAAATAAGGAAGCAACTGAGGAAGCTAAGGGGGTCCAAGCTTTTCTGAAGCTTGGCACCCCAGCCTGCAGTTACAAGCCTTGCTCCCAGGAGCATCTGTCTACCTGGCTGTCAGCCACCTGTGCCCCTGAACCTTGGACCCCCACACTTCTGTGAGGGCTTCGCCCCACTCCTGCTTTCTGAGAACTCCGTCCCACTCCTCCAATGCTTATGGCCTGGAGGGGGCTGGCGTCTCAGAGCAGTCAGTCAGCTGTTGTTTGCAGAGTCTGGACTCCAACACAGCTCAAAATTTCCAGGATGTAAGTGAAGACTTGTCTCAAGTTGGGCAAAACGCTCAAGGTTTCTGAGTTCTGACCCCTGTGAATTTCTCCCTTCACTGTGGGAGCCATCACTGAGATAGCTGCTCTGAGCCCTTCAGATGGAATGGGTTGCTACAAATTCCTGAAAATATTGGCGATGAAGATCATACAGCAAAGTCAAACTGTCCGAACTTCCAAGCTTGAAAAGTCATTTACTGTTAATTTTGAACATAGAATGTGATTCTTATTAAGTGTCTGGGTGACAATAGGTACCAGATGTCCATGAAAAAAAGAAAAATTAAGTTATACTAAATGAAATAGCTAAAGAGATAGTTGGTTCCATTACTTTGCTACTTGGGAACGAGTGGAAGAACAGGGTAGAGATGACCGCCATGCCTTTAAGACAGACTCAGATGATACAAGTTGAAACACATGAATAGCCATGCTTAGGAGAACGAAGCATTATTATAAATGGAAACAGATAATGTTCTAACTGGAAGTGTGAAATGTGTTCATCAAGATACTATCCAAAAGCAGATAACAACTATTGACTAAAATTATAGTTTTATTTTTCTATGAATTGGATCAAATTATAACCTCAATAAGAATTTCTTGAAATAACAAGCATAGATACAGCTAGTCTCCAGTCTCCAGCTGCTTCCATAATTAACCATGATAAAGCAAAAGACTTTAAATTACCAAACATGTGAA